CGTCATCCAAGGGTGTTCTTGCTCCATCTTTTTCCACTTCCACCAAACTCACCGCCGGTCGGATCCCTTCCCAAAACACATCGTTCTTTTGATGTCTTGAGCGGTCTCAGAACTTTTCGGACACGAGCCGCACCAACCAAAACACAGAAACAGCACCACACCCTGCGAAAAAGACCCACCCACCAACGGCCGATGTTAGACCCTTAGACCCACCACCAACTCCCGACTTCACCGGTCACCGGGTCGTGAAACGTGGTTCACCGGTTGACCGGACGGTCCGTTGTCCGGTGGTGGTTCGCCCAGTGGAACACATCCAAAGGTGGAACTCGCGGACGTGGATCCGGGCCGCTCCCTGTGGCTTGGACCGCGTGTGGCGTACGCGTCCGGGACTGGGCGCGAGAGGCGGAGAAGGGAGACGGGAGACGAGAGGCGCAATCGTTTCACCAGGTGAGATGGTGTCGGAAGGTTTCGGAGTTCACAGCCATATAAATAGTGGTGCAGATTCAGATTGAGTTTAGATAGAAGAGTGGTGAGGGGGCTTTCTAAAGCACACTGGTTTAGGAGAGTCTTTCTATTGAATTGTGGGACCGGAATGCCTGCTTGAGCTTTGAAGATGAGCAATCACCTCACCTCCTTTCAGATTCGGCAGTGACAGATTCCCTCGGGAGTGGAATCCGGGTTTGTTTGCTTTAGGGCTGCCCTGTTTGTATGGGTTATGTCAGCATTCCTGCTATTCCTGTGGAAGGCCTTTGCAAAAAAGTGGGCTGTGCACTTCTTTTGTTGGATGCAGTCTAATGGAGCCTTGTAATCTTTGCATGGACCCCCGACCAATACCAGTCGTCGATTTGGCTTGCCCGTCCACCCTTGTAGCTTCCCTTTGCGTCTTGTCCCACACTCACAGCTGGCCTCACACTCACAGCTAGCTACTTCTAGCAAGAATCTTTTTGTTGGAGGGAGGGGGGGGTCGTATACCGAGTCATACCAAGAGAGTCCTTTACAACAAAGCCAGCGGCCCGAGAGGTTATCTTTGCAAGCTCATACCTCGGAGAGGTGCGAGCGCAGATCTCCATCCGCCAAGCAGTTGACCAATGAGACGTATGTATGTACTTACTGTAATTTTATGTATAGGTGTATACAGTATGCACATATAACATATACATATATACATTTACACACACACATATATGTATATATATATACACATACAATAATATAGTGTATATATATATATTCTATATATATAAATCACGAAAGGTAGCTTGAGCTACCTGAGTTCTCCTTGCTTTAGCAAACATGTATTACAATCAGGAGTTGGGATTGTGCATTGAGTTTGGTCCTGTAAGAGTTGATTCTGTTCGTCGGGGGGGGGGGGCCCCCCCCCTGGATCAAATCCCCCCTGCGCCGGTTCACGCCGTCATGGACTTTTACCAGGGTTGCTTGTGATTGCCTGCTACCTTTCGTTCACCCCCTCCTCTCTCAAGTATTATATACATACGTAACAAAAGCTCATGTCCGGCGTAACGTATGGTAAAGTGCATGTATGGCCGCTGTCAAACTCGGTGAGCGATGAAAAGGTGCAGCTTCGTACAGGACACCAGCTTGCACATTGCCAGGGCCAATTGCTGTACACGTGCAATCAACACTCCCGTGTACAGATTGACTACTGAGATTTGTTGATCCGGAAAGCACCTCCATCGTTGCAGGCTGAAGTTGATTCTGCTTTTGCCAGACGGACGTTGGCATGTTTGTTCCATGCAAGCGCCCCTTGGCAAGCGGTAGGTCAATGAAAGGGAAGGTTTACCTAATGTGAATGGGATAGACGTAGAACGCGACTCCGCTGGAAACGAAGATCTGCGTTGAGTGTTCATTTTCATCCGGCACGGATACTTGAGAGGAGCACCTGGAAGGGTCGTTTTTCCATGGAGGGATTCCATGCCCTTTCCTTTGGATCCTTCTGGGTTGCAGGTTTGCAGAGCTCGCTTTTGAGCGTCCGCTGAGGCTCGTGATCCAGCTTTGCGATGTGACGCTTGGATACGCACCGCACGCCCGCACGCCTTCCCGAGGTCGGCCCTTGGAGCTGGGGACGCCATGTTTTTGTGATCATTTTTGCCACCGGGTCGGAAACCGTGGTGCATCGTGGTGCTCATCTTGACAATCACCTTAAATCTGACCTTTTCGACCCGGTGGCCATATGTTCTGGAACGAGGACGTGGGTGTCATGTCGAGAACATCATGATCGGTTTCACAACGTCATCATCAACCTTACATGATGAGTTGTTGATGTGACGACAAAAGATTCTTCGGGGGTTCGGTGGCCGGTGGGGGGCGACACGAAGACGCTGTCCTCGAGACAGTGGGGTTCACGTGGACGACACTGTCTCGAGAGCGGTCCGGACGGACAAGTGCATTCTGGAAGCTGTCAAGTGCTATGGCGCACGGCAAGCAAGCGGTTGTTTTACCAGGCTTGAGCCAAATACGTCAGTCATGTGCACATAAGAGGTGGGACCAGACAGGGGTTAGTAGGAAGAAAAAGCAAACATTCATGTCATTAATGAAACTCGATGGTGATGAGTGCTCTTTCTCCACCACGTAGGAGGGCCGGATGAAAAGGGTCAACTCTGCGAACTGGGTAATTGGATGTAATTGGTAATTAACAATACCACCGCCCACTTGCATGGATTTGTTCTGGAATTTGTGCAACCACCTGAGCTAATAGCCCTTACTGCAGCAGGACAGACTTCAACAACCAACGTCTTCCTCCCTAAACGTTCCCACAGATGCCATGATCAGCGGAGTTTGCGACATAAAACGCGGCCTTCCTCATTTTTGGGTGCTTCCGGGTTTCTGTTTAGAGGGCAGGCTTTGTGAGTGCCAGTCGACGTCTCAGCCTTCCAAGGAGCCAGTTGAAGAACTGGGTCCTGAACTTCGCTTCCGAGGGTGCCCGGCACGCCGCGAGCGCTCACGGCGCCCATATCGACACACCGAGCGTGCGTGACGGAGCTCGTTTTGGTGTCCCAGACTGCTTCGGATCTTGACCAGATCGCTTGGGGGATGCGGGGCAGGTTTTTTTTTTGGCTGGAGCTTGGGTGTGAGATGGGCGTTTGGAGGGGAAGGAGACGGTGTGCTGTTGCAGAGATGGCTGGTGCACTGGTTGTGGGCAAGGCTGCCAGTACACACTTGTGCAACTGCAGGTGCTTCCGGAACTTCCAAGTCGCTGCTTCAGATCTGAGACGAACGCGTAGCTTTGAACGCGTGTTCGAGTGCGGTTTCCCCACACTGGGCACGTACAGACTAGACTCATAGTACTAATTACTTCACAAGATCTCCGTGCGGTATACATTTTGGGGCTCCGTGGACCACGTAGAATCATTGTTTCACTCATCACAGCGCTTGCAACTGACTTGCGCTCTTTCGCGCTTGGGGCCAAAGGTGAAGAAATGCTTCAAGTGGAGATGGAGCAGCAAGGTCTACGTCTCATGCATTGATGTTTTCTTCTGTTCAAATTCAAACATGTTCGAACCTTGGTGGACGTTTCAAAATTCCTTTGCTAGACAGAGCTAGGGTGAGCACGTTTGCTTGCTGCTGTGCCTTCAGCCGATGTCCGGGTGAGGCACAATCAGATGTTCTATCATGGATATTCTAAAAATACCATTTGGTGTCTACGATCGAAGGATACAGGCCAGCAAGCTTCCGGGGATGATATGAACAAACGTACGAAAACACGGAATTCCTGAACTAAGAAATCAGAAGTCCAAGTTTCAAGAACGACAGATGGTTGGCTGATGTTGCCCAATTTGGGCCGTACCCGAGGTACCCCCCCGAACCGCACCAGGCCGCGCCTTTGCGATGCCGCCCTCACCCTCTTTGGTCCAAGACGCATGGGCAGTACAGGTTCCGTCAAACCTTGTTTTGCAGGTATTGATGGAGGCGTTGGAGCCCTATCTCGAGGGTTCGGACTTCCTTGAGGCCACATGACCTGTGCGAAACGAACAAGATGACCGGTGGATATGGCAGGAACGGGTGGAAAAGGCGAAGCGGGTATGCACGGAACCCAGAGATGTATGGGAAGCACGCGCAGGCTCGGGCCAACAACCAGGTTGACCCAATTTTGGGTCAATTACAACAACTGAGCACTTGCAGGAACGAGACAGCCCCCTTTCAACAAGATGCTACAATGGAAGGATGATTGTTTTAGCATTTAGCATGTTTTAGCTAGCTGTCCAGACGCCTCATGGAGTGGCCTTTCATTGTTGCACTATAGGACTATAGGAACATGAAATTCTAAGGGCAGTTCTGTTCGGCACTCGGCACAGCGCTCTTTTGATCATTCCGACCACATGTAAAAAGCCACTGGCTGCCACCGGGTAATCAGTAGAACTTCAGGTGAAGTCAGGGTGATCCTTGGTTATGAGATGTGATGAGTCACGTGTCACGAGTAAATATAGAATTACTGCAATATTACAATACAGAAGATTTGTTATGTGGTCTATTATGCATATATGATTTTACTTATATAGTGTTATATCTATAATTAACATGCATTTTGTTAAAAATGTTTTTGCAGACATAAACCATTTGAGGAACATTCCGTGCCCAGAGGTCCAAGTCACAGGGCTTTCAGCAAGAGCATGCATTTCTGGACATAGCTTTGAAGCTTGTGTGATTACTTCTCCGTCATCACTGGGCTTTTTGTGGCAACAAGGGGAAGATCTGCTCACAAAAGGTCATTTTGACCTGCTTGTATGGCACACCAAGTGCCTTTGTGGTCATGGTTCAAGCGCTTGGAAAATACGCATATATAATGGTCAATTTCCAGAACTCAGGCACCGGAATCCTTGTACCGGGAGTCTTTCACCTTCACAAGGTTTCGTCAAGGAGCAACATGACGAAAAAACATCTCTTCCCACGGCCTGGACGATCGTATAAAACATGATGAAAAGGAGTCATACATAATACATGAATCCTTCAAACAAGCCCCGTTACTTGCACAAAAGATCTGGAAACGCTTAAGCAAGAGGAACAAGCGGAACACCCGTGTTCCTGAGTGTTGCTGAGAAGCTCGGTGCGCCTGGGCTCTCGTTGCTGCTGTTTGATGCCTGCGTAGTTCATCCCAGTTCATCCCTACATGCAGCTGCTTGGCTGACCGGGTGGGCAGAAGTTGGGATCGGATGAGAGAGCGATCCAAGAGATGGATCATCTAAGTCATCCGTGGTCCACTAAGCCACAAAAAGGGCACGCGCGCGCGCGCATAGACAACCCCTCCCTCGTCATACGACAACCTCATAAGATTGCACCATTTCAGCCGAGTGGTAGTCTCATGTCGTCCCTTCGATCCACTTGAAGTCATTTGTTCCTGTTGGGACTCGTCTTACCAAACGAATGACTTCATAGAGAGAGAGAGAGAGACCCAAAGCTGACTGGGCAATGGAATCTGACGTCAGATGCCCGAGTACAACTCGCCGAATCGACCGGCACCACCCTAGGCTCAGGCAAAAGGCCTCGAAACCGGACTTCTCGTAAAGTCTTCGGGGACTGACCGGTGCTTTAGTATGCTTTACTGCTTCCTTTTCGATGTGCGAACCTTTTTGCTTCACACAGTTAGCCTTTTTCACGGAGAAACTTTAAACCGTGCGTGTGTTGGGAGGTCAACCAACCTTTGAGCGTGCTTGTCAGTCTCGCTGATGGCAATTGTGAGCAGAATGCAGACGGGTTGGTCTGTGGTGGCTGGGGGGTGTAGAATGTTGTTTAAAAAATACACGTAAGATCACGTAAGATAGCTCAATAACATTCAATATCAAGGTGCCATTCTGCAGTACGTAGTACCGCGAAGTCACTCAACGCTCTTTGGAGCAGCCAGGTCAGGACTTTCCAAACACTTCAGCAGTGTCCACATGTGTACACCGAGGCATCTCGTGGGTTTCCTCGCGGCTGCTGGTGCCTGTGCTTTGTTGGGCGCCTGGTGGCTTTGGACGGAGGCGGCGCCCGGTGAGCACCATAGACCTGTAGGTGTCATAGATGGCCTGTGTATGGGATACATCTCTAATAGATGGCCTATGTATGTTATATGTACCTACCAACATGTAAGGGTGGTGGGTATGCTGATATGACGTTGGGGGATGCAGACCTCCCGATGAGTGCAGTGCTTCGAATTCATGGGGCGTAGCCAGTGCAGCGAATCCATGACCACTGGGGGTATGACGGAAGGTTCTGTGCCGAACCTTTTACGACGCCCCTCGAGGCGGAGAGAGATAGGGAGAGAGACAAGGGAACAAAAACACCAATGGCATTTTCTGGAAGCTTTGTTTGGTCCCGGCTCATGCAGCAATGCATGTGTTCCACGTTGGTGGGCAAATGGCGACACCACGGTTTCTGCGCACATGTCAGGTGCCTCATGCAGACTATGTTTTGTTGTCGGAGGATGAGCGCCTGGCCCGCTTCAACGAACGTTGCTTTGCAGAGGTGGGGGTAGTAAGCAGTACATCTATATGTGTTTTGGGCCGGTTTGTTTCGGGCTATATTCTAAACTCAATGTCCACACAGTAAACAACCAAAGGTGCCAGTCATATCAGTAATTCCCTCCAAATCCCATGACAATTTTGTGTTTTGGGGACCGGTTTGTGACTGAACTTCCAATCATTCATCCTGCGCTGGGTTGGGTCTGGAGAGGTTGATTTGCCATTTGGGCGGGCCACAGAAACGCTCCTTCGTGGTGGCCCTCGCCGGAGGTCACAGTCGGCTTTCCCGAAGAAGAGGAGGAGATGCCCTCCGAGTGGGCCATGCACAGCGCAGTGGTTGCTTTGCTTCACGGAGAAGTGAGCCCTGCGGAGCGTGGCCCTGCCGTGAAGGGATCGGTGAAGGGCGGGAATCGTGGTGGGTGACGGGGGACGGTTCAGGGAGGTTCAAGCCCCAAAGGTCAAAATCCGACATCACATTGAACAGCTAAATTGGTAAAGGTCAAGTCCACGGCACGATCTAAGATGCCAAAATATGACTGTCCCAACCATTTCCCCCGCCCAGGTCTTAAATAGATGAACGATCAATGCGGTGTGCGCTGTGGTGTTACACAAAGCGGATCTCACATCTTGGAGGAGTTACCGGCGGTCTCATCCTCAACAGAGAAAGACATTTTTTGCCGATGCCCCATCCTTCAAGGAAACAGGCAAATGGCAAACAGGCATTTGGAGTTGGAAGCACCTCCTCTAATGTCGACCTCTGATTAATAAAGGGATCCGAAATTAAAGGGATTAAATTCCCGGTATTCAATTCAATTTCAATTTCAATTGAATACTAATTCCGAATTCCCCTATATTTTAATATTCATTTTAGTAAGGGATCATTTCATTTCTAATTAAAATTCTGTCTTGGAACCTGGGATGAACTTTATTTAGGGTCGACAAAAATTTCAAGATTTGCCACCCCCGTGTATTTATTAATCAGAGGTCAACACTAGTATTTCTTGCGCCACCAACCAAAGGGCTATATCTGGCGGGGTGGGTGGGTTTCATTTCCACAGCTGTTGCTTAGATGATCCGCTGAGGGTGGCTGGATGACCCACATCCACCTGCCAGCTGGGACTGTCGCCCAGCTGATCTACCACGACACTGGCGGATCAATCAGCGAATGCATTTCCAAGCCGTGGCCGCAGATGGCACGTTGCTTGAGAGGACTCTTGGCCAAGAGGACGATGTCGCACGTCCACTTCCGCAAACAAAAAAGGAGGGTGAGCCGAGCGCGGCGGAGACTGAAGGATCACCCCTCAGCCCGGCTTGCTTATCTTGCAAACGATCCTTTTGAAAGAACACTGCATTCGCGGCCCCAGTGGGCTCCGGCGGATTTACAGTATCATGATTGTGTATGATTGTTTATCTTGAATCAGTGCCCGATCCGACTGAGAAGGGCGCGTCAGCTGCCCAGGTCCGCCTTCCTTCCCTCCCAGGACTTGACAGGACTTGTTTGGGTGAACACTATATGCGTCCCATTTGCATCATTCAAGGTCATCCATGAGTATTATTGAATATCCAATACACACCTTTTGGAAGCTAGGCTCAGCCAAGGATTCTGGTTCGCCTCTCAGGCTCGAGGCTGGGCACCTTTGTCCCGTCCGACCGCGGCAGGGCGCCAGCTCAAACCGCTGAGCTCACCGAGGTCCTTCGACCCCGACTTGGATCCCTCCGCGCACGATGACGAGGAGCCATGGGCACAGCACAGTTGCGCGGCTCAGCAGCTGACGTCGGAAGGCTTCAAGCGGCTTGGGCCAACACGAAGGGACGCGTCGGGTGTGCCAGGTGGTTCATTTCGGTTCGACGCGTGGGTCTTGGGATGCTTGGACGCGTGGGTCCCGTGGAAGTGGAAAACCCACTCCTGGCAAATGTAGTAATATGTATTTCGGTGCAAATGCCACCACATAGTAGATCGTAGTAGCCCCATGCTTCCCCCATGTGGATAGCCTTCCCCCAACTAGATACCACTGCAAATGACACTGTTTTCCTGATCCTAAAAGCGTCGTAAATCCTCATCAATATCATCACCGCTCAAAATACCTTCGGCATCCTTCGGCGGTGGTAGTCCAACCGGTGGGGAGTACCACAGGGGTGTGACCAAGCTACCCCGTGTAACCGAGGCAGGCAGTGCTGAATGGCCGGCACTTGGCAGCCCGCTATGAGCAGGTCTTGAGCTCTGCAAGCCTCGAGGTCTTGAGCTGCTTGGGCACAAAGAGCAGAAATTCGACAGAGGGAGACAGAATGAGAGGAATCTGGAAGGTGTCCCATATGTGCAATGTATAATGTATATAGATAATATACAAAAACATTAAAGGATAAAAGGTTGTCAAATCAATGTTCAAAGTTTGGTGGTTGGGTAGGTTGCCGCATGGTGAATTCCTCAAGAACGGAATTGGAGGATATTGTAGGTTGGGTCCGATGTCACTGCTGAGGTGAGAGCATCCCAGCAAACAGCATTGAGCGGGATCATGTCCTCTCGAGATGCGACAGGGAGGCCTCCCAGGCAACGACCCCCTGGAAGAAGGAAAACAGACCAGTCAGTCTACCCAGGCCAGGAGGTCTCCCTATTGCACGCCCCAAGCCTCGCTTTGGCACCGCAAAGACCTTTTCAGTGCACAAGTCATTTGCCACGGGCCAAACACCTGGGGTACCACCCCCCAGACCGGCCTCCAAAAGCCTGGCCTCCTCCCGCAACGGATAAGGCGTGGACAGCAAGCCATCGCGCACCGCGGTGGTGGGTACCTTGTTGCCCTTACTGCCAGACGTGGAAGGGACAGCTGCATAGCTGCATAGCTTGGAAGATGGGTTGGGAGACCAGACGGAAGAAGGGAAATTTGAGCGACCGGGTGCTTTATTCATACACAAATCCAGTGAAGTAAACATGTTGAACAGCAGGGTGGTCAACAGTCGACATGTCAATACATTGGTGAACGGTTTTGGTCCAGGTTGAGGCCTATCCACGACAGTGACCCAAATCTAGCTGGCGACCCGGGCCCTGTTTCCCTGTTTGTCCTTGTATTCTTGGATTGTCTACTGAGTCTACTGTCAGAAGAAGTTGATTAGAGCCCCCTCAGAAGTCCTAAATGGCTCGAATCCCATAGATCATGTTCGGCAAAGCTCTACAAAAACCTCTATGTTGTGGGAATTGAGTCCAGGAGCGGGACCTCAGAGAGCTTCAGACTTGGACCTCACATAACTGAACTGTCGACAGGTCTCCATCCACATGGTCCCAATGGCCCCAGAATTGGCTTCAGTGACAGCCACAGATGATTTGCTGGCCAGGCACACCGGCCCAGGACCAAACAAAAGTTCATGGAGGGAGACTCGAAGACTGCTCAAAATGTTTGGATTCTTTTTGAAGTCTCTTTCTTTGCTTCATTATGCTTCATTCAATCATTCCACAGGCGTAGTCAAGTGTGGTAGAGTTGTTCTTTTCTCCAGGACGGCTTGTTTGGATGGTGCTGTTGTGCATCAGGGGTTTTCGATCGACTTGGCATCTATATAGGATCATCAGAAGATCATCTCTCTCTGTATGTATACAATATATATAAATAAAAGTCTCTAAGTCTCTAAGTCTAAGTCTGCTGCTTGTCGGCTTTGTCACTACAAGAGAAAGAGCTCATTCAAGGCATTGTGGCCCCGTTTGACGCGCTTGGCACCGGCTAGGTGGTGTCATGTGGGCACCCTCCCTTGCACTCGTGATGCTTGCATGACCCCGGCGGCTGCCACTGAAGCCATCCAACGAGCAGACTCAGAGATTTGCAAAGACTCCGGCGAGTCTTTGGGATGGTTACAGCTGGCCAGGAAGAATAGGCACTTGAGGGTGAAAGCGGGTGAGAGGTGATTGAGTAGGATATGGTCCTAACATGCCCCAACAGGACTTGGAGTGCTATTGTGAAGTCCTGCACTAAATCCTTGCGACGCTTGGCCCTTGTATCTTTCCTTGCTACGACTCAAAAAGCACTTGCTGTGGTAATGCTCAAGCTTCTTAGATTAGTCGGGCCCAGTAAGTCGGGCCCGTTTTGTTTCTTTCACCAACTTTCAGAGGTGCCCTGACTTCCGTGACCCGATCATGACACAGGACGCTACATACTAGGAGCTCCTGGCCGTAGACTAGGAGCTTCTGAGCTACGAACGGAGTAAAGGGCATCGCTACGAACGGAGCGTTCGGACGCTACTAGGCCAAGAACCGAACTCTATTTCATTTCCAAAAACAGGCACTTTGCGCTCGTGAGCCTGGATGTGGTCCGGCTCACGCGACTGATGGCACGCCTGGGCCTCACCTGCCGAGAAGTGACCCGAGAGACTCCGCTGCAGCGTCCAGCCCGTGGCTCCATGCTGCAGATGGAGCGCTGGGCCAGGCAGAGAGCTCACGTCTGGGCCGTCTGGGGCAGATGGGGGCGGAGAAGTGGGCCAAGGAAAGACTGGAAGAAGCTGGAGGGTCAGATTCTGGAGTTGATAGTGGTAGGGTAGAATGATGATGAGTGGTGTTGGTGTACAGGAACGCGGACGGTATTTGTTTGACATAATGAAGCCAAAAAGTCGAAGACGACGACCAGAATCGGGTCAGGTGAACTTTCTGGGGTGAGTTTGCCCCATCACTTCAAACGCTGAACTCCCTGGAACTAGCGGAAGCGGAAGCGGAGTCTACCTCCCTAGAGGAACATGGTCTTCCGACCTCGGGGCCATGCCATCCACGGTACAACCATGGGAGTTCCGGATCTCGTGTGGCACCTGTCGCTCCGATGCGGAGGCATGAAGAGGTCCGCTGGCGAATCCTTTGGAATGGCCTGGACGTGAGCGTGCTGGTGTGCGGGGATGTTGGAGATCCGTCCAGTCCAAGGGGATGTGAGGAATCGTTGATTCTGCGGATGCTCGATGCCAATCGGACAGGCTGAGAAGCGAAAAAGCCGTTGAGACGTGGACGAGCATGACGAGCATGATGGTTGAACAAGGATGCACGTGGTGACCTGGGTGGTTTGGTAGTCTCACCCACGTAGCTTTCGCGCTTGGTTTCCAGGAATGTCCCAACCTTTGACAGGTGGGCATGTTGGAGACAAGTTCGTACTATACTTGCACTCCCTCCATGTTCAGTGGGTCAATCACTCAATCCTGAAGACCACACCGAAACAGCACATCGTCCCTTGACCCCCCTTCCCACCGTTGCCAGGCGCTTGGGGAGCTGTGCGAGGAGCTGATCCGAGCGGCGGATCCCCGCCACGAGGAGGGTGGGGCTGGGCACTGCCGGGTCGAAGAGCGTGCAAATCCTAAATCCGGAGACTCCGGAGGGCGGAAGGGAAGGGGGATCCCGATTTGTGGAGTGGAAGCTGCAAGCTTAGGGCTTAGAAATGTTTGTTGTTTGGAGCTCGTGTAGCTTCTTCAAAAGCAGGGGAGAAGATGGGCGTTGATCATGCAGTGATCCCAGAGAGTTGGTTACAGGGAATCAAGCGCTGCACTCCGACCCCACCGTTTTGATCTACACTCCGACTCACTAACATGGAAGTTATGACTATTCTCCTCTACACAGATGGTTTTCCACTTCCGATGTTAGTGAGTCAGATGGTATTTCAAACCATTGCAACATCTACAGTCTCAGTCCAAAGGTTCCTTTCTGGATGACTTCTCACCAGAAAATCAGGGCTTTTCTCAGATGCGACTCCTACCTCGTCTTCGCAGTGCTTTCCTCGTGGCTTGAGAACGAGCGCGGCGTAAAGCGTATGTCTAGAGCGAATAGCTCGGTGTGTCGGGCGAGAGCTAACTCGGCTAAACTTGGAGCAGTCTGGTCGGCATGTACTGCATTCCGCTGAGTTTGGACCTGCTTTTGGCATGTTGCAGGTTGCGCAGCTGACTAACGAGGTCATGCGGGGTGGCGCTTCAACATGAATCACATTAGCATTCATTAGTGGTGGTTCCCTTCCTGGCACACCGGACGAGCATTCTTCATAGGCAGTTGTGAAGTGGTCATTACCCAGCACCTGTACAGCAGACATCCTGGAAAAGCATAGTACTATAGTAACAGTAACTGTGTAACTATATAAAACAATTTTATGCCAGATCCTGGTGTGACTGAGTACAAAGCTCCGTATTTCAAGCTGGCTCCAATGTCGCCATGGTCAAGGGCAAGCCGCCGAAAGCGCGCCAGCAGCCCGTGAAGACACGGCTGAAGCCGTCGCGCCTGAAGTCCACCCCAAAGGCTTCGGGCACACGGCGCAAGCGTGTGGAGCCTCCGAAGATTTGCCACTTCAAAGCCACTCATGCGCTTTTACCTCAGCTTGTGCCATGTGACTGAGCTGATGTTTTGGAATGTTTTGGACAAACCTGGAGGGTAGGTCAGAAGGTGCAAAATTATCATGAGTTGCAAGCCCCTGATGTGGACGGCGTATAAAATTTTTGGGAGCTAGGCAGAGGTGGACCGGTGGACCTGCTTTGGTGCGTCCGAGGTGATGTCATCCTGGAGTACAAGCAGAAACATGTCACGAAGACCCAGCTTGAGGAGTCTTAGCCAGAGTTGGATGATTTCTTCATCATATTCTCATGACTCCCTGCCCAGGAAAAGTAGATAACCTGCAACCTGCCCAACCTTGTTTGGGGATTGGTTTCCCTATGGCCCGATGTTTCCCCATTAAACGTGAACACGTGGAAAAGCCATGAAAAATCAGCAGTACCGCCGTCGCACATGGTTGCTGCGAGATCAGATGATAGAACACGCGGAAAACGAGGTCAATAACCTCGATTTTCCAGGGGCGCTGGAGTCAGTGTGCTCATGTTTGGCTGGTGTCATCCGTCATATATCATCACATTGTGACGTGATGGTGTCGCATACATCACTCCCCTTGTTGGTTGGGCGCCACAGCCTTCTTCTCATCTCCTCCAGACGAGGCGCTACTGCCACAAGGTCTGCGGCCGTGCGCTTTGAAGCTGCCCAAACTGGAGGTTCCGATTGGAAGTGCTTCCACTATAGTGAAGAAGGATGCTCCGACTTCTTGTCCTCCTTGCATTGGTTTCAACATCGTTTTTGGCTTGCGACTTCCGAGCCCACCTGGTGTTCAAAGAGCGAATCTGGAATTTCTCGGAATAACAGATAAAAGCCATAACGTGTTGCCCAGTTCCCATCTAATGCATCCAAAATTGCCAACATCTCATATCTACGACCATGATTGTTCTATTCTAGTGTTACATGGTTCCAATTTTTACAAATCTTTGTGCCACCCAGGTAAGAGCTTCGCTGTGCTAAACACTGGCTGTTATGTCTCCTGGAAGCACTTCTGAATTTTAACGGCCCAAGAAGTTTTGGACTTTGCCAAGCGCAGTTGCATTGGTGTGAGACCCCTCACACAATAAAACGCCTACACACGTCACCCCCTGTTTTCCCCGTCCTTCAGGTCTCTTTAGCGGCCTGGTCTCCATGTGGCCTAGTCTTGGCACTTGCTGTTCATGGCCGTGAGCAGCCGGCGAGTCCCGCAGAGGGTCCGGCGCAGGGTCTCGCAGCGCTGCAGCTCTGGCGGGTGCAGCTCGAGGAGGCGAGTCCCACGAGTTCGCTGCGGGTTGGGCTGGTCCACGAGGGTGGCTGTGCACGAAGCTTGGAATGGCTGCCATCCAAGAGCCACAAGGACGAAGGGAGCCGAAGGGAGCGCGGAAATGGAGGATTTCGGGGGAGCGAAGGGTGTTGAGGAGGAAGTTGGTTCGAGGTCCAGCGATCTGGGATCTTTCAGACTTGGCAGGAAGGGTGTTCTGGGACCGGGGCATGCAGACAGGTCTACAGATGTCCACAATTCCCTTGAGGCTACCCAAAGAGAGAGCCCTTGGATTTGACCGAACTGCTCACGACCTGGTGAATCGTTCCAAGCGATTTTTGGATGTATTATAATATATTGCATCAACATAAGTATGTATCTCCTATCAGCGCTCGACCTGCGGGTTGCTGTTCCATCATTCTCAGGCCTATTCTTTTTCAGGTTGGATTGGACCGTGTCACAAGAAGCCACAAGAATGCGGACCTCGCTCACATGCGGGCCCATGCCTTACTGAACTCCCGTTCACCCGGCCAGGACAGGCTGGGCTTGTTGCTGGCCTGCTTAGGAGATGGAAAGCTGTGTACCTGGGCTGAGGTTTCTTTCCTTCGCTTCGGGATGAAACCAGGTGAAAGACTTTGAAGCACAAAATGCAACCTGAGAGGACCTGGCTTTGCATTCATGATTTCACCACTGCAGAGAACCTGACGCGGAGACATGTCAGTGTCCACCCTGCCATGACTGCATAGAAGATTAGAAGATTACTGTAGATGCAAGGCATCAATGCTTGCAACTGGTGCCAGCTCACTGAAACTCATTCTAATTTTCACACGCTTAGTAGGGAGCATCACCAAGCTCTCACCAGCACGTCGTGTTTCCCTTGCAGGGTCCGACCACATGGCTCAGCCTGCAAACAAAGCTCCAGCTGGCTCCAGCTGCTTGCCAGAGTTGTTTACCGCACCAGCTGAGGTATCTACAGTCTCCCCAAAAACGCCTTTGAGCCCAAGAGTTTGAGCCGCGCGTGGCTCTTCGCTCGTTTTGCCCCCGCGTGGACGGCCGTCACTGCACCAGAAGGTGAGGGGAAATGGCTGAAGAGCAGGGGCAGGGGGATGTATAGATTGAGGTAATTTGAGCAGCTTTATACTAGACATGGACTTTAAAAGAAGTATATACAACCGGGGCCCGAGAGTCTGAAGCCTCAAAAGGCCTGCGAACGCGGACTCGTTTTCTAGGCCGCCGATGCACCCGATTGTAGCATAACATATGTTTGTTCTTCCGAAGGAAAATAGAACACCAATGCAGACCCCATAGAATACCATTCCCGGTTTCAATTGCTCCTTCTTCTGTTCGGGCTGCTGGAAAAGAGAGAAAGAGATTGGCTTCAATTGTCATAAGAATCATGTGGTGTGACCTGGTGCGAATTGACAGCCGCCTGCAATATGTTTCCTTTCTTCCTTCTCTTCCTTCTCTTGCGGAGACTCAGCCAATTACAAATTTTCAAGCCCACCTCCAGTCACAAGTTTTGAAGCTGTCTCTTTCTCAAGTACCAAGCACCCTGATTGAAGACTGACATCGCCCGCCCCCCTGAAAGCAATGTTGAAGGCATGAGTTTTGGGGGTGGCCGCTTTGTTTCAGAACATCTGTAACAGTAACATTGATGACAAGGGGGTATGGGGGAGTTGTACTGGAGATGCATAACAGCAAGCATGTCGCTTACTAACATTGATTACAAGGGGGCATGGGAGACTTGTAATGAAGAAGTGTAACAGGAAACATCCATGTGGCTTGTTTTGGGAAGAGGCTGTTTTGAGAGTAGCCTGTTGAATTACCAGGTCTGGGGTGTCAACTCGTTCTCAGGTCACTGCATTCTGCATTTCCGAGATGGGAGGAAATCCCTGCCCCGCATGCGCAAGGACCCACATGGAGAAACAGGCGGCGCAGGGCTTGATGTCTTTCATGGTCGTGATGCGAGCTCGAAACACGTAGATCTTCATTCGTGCACGAAGCATGCTGGGTTCTGCTTCAGACAATCTCACGCCGCCAAACAGCGCCGCCGAGCAGCGACAGCGCCTGAGGCATGAAGCATCTATGATTCTTATAAGAAGGAAGCCGCAGGGTGTGAGCGGGAAAGGGTGTGCCAAGATTGCTTTTATCGCTCAGGAAATTAGTGCACCTAAACACCTTCCACAAATTTCTGCGAAGGTTGCCCAGACTTTGCAACAAGTGTGTTCTTAAAAAACAACAAGCGCAGGAATGGCCCACGAATAGCCCACGACGCTTCCGCAAAAATGGCCCGAGCCGGCCATGAAGTTAGTAGAACCGGCTTTAACAGCCAAGCGGCCTCGCCTCTACGAGTTCACACATCGGCACCGAAGAGCAGCGCCGCCGCCATCGCCCAACGGGCGACATAGCGGCTCGTGGGATTTTGTTGTTGATTCAAAGTCGGATAACTCGCGTAAGAGGAGGATTCGGCGCTCGTCCTCTCATGGTGGGGGCAATTGTCTCAATGTCTTAAAAAGGCAAGGAAGCAGAAGTCGCCAAAATAGGCCCAAGCCTTCCAAACACAAGTCACAATGTGAGAGATGAAATAGGCCCAAGCGTAGGACCAAGCGTGCGGGAGCAATTCCCAATGGTAGGGCAGAAATAGGCAGAAATAGGCACAAGAAGTCGTTGAATTTTAAAGAGAAAAGTTAAAAGATCACTTATTTCAGAGAATCTTTGGGCCCATTTCATCACTGACATTGCGATTTGCCATCGGAAGGCTTGGGCCTATTTGGCCACTGCTTGGGCCTATTTTCATTCCTGCCACTGTGATTTGCATTCGGAAGGCATGGGCCTATTTTTCAATGTCCTGCGCCGATTTCATCCCTGCCATTGTGATTAGCACTCGGAAGGCTTCCAAACGCTGCGGCGAAAAGGCGTGACTGCGACAGGGCACCAATTTCGAGGCCACGAAAACCATTGATTTCCAGCTTCCAAACCATGTACCCTCGCAGTACCCCTCGCAGTATATAATATATATTACATTATATTACTATATCAATATTTTATATGTATATATATAATATATATGCATAAGTAGACGTACTTTTATATATGCAATGCAGCTTGAACAGTAGCTTGACATTCAAACACTAACATCGGACAGATTGCTCCTCCGTCCCCCCTTTGTAGCGATAGGCAAGTGGAACGCGTCATGTTGACAGCGAGAAATAGTGAATTTTAATACTGTTTGTTTGTTCCTTTTAGTCGACACCTAGGGGTGAAGCTGGGTCGGCGAAGTGAAGCTGAACCTTGGTTTTTGGATTTTGAGATGGCTTGCATATAGGTATGGGATGGATTGGGGTGGTATGGGTGTGAGTAGGACATTTGGGAGACTCAGCCCAGTGCAACTACCCGCAGCTAGCCAATGTAAAGCTTCATGTGTCTGGCAGATCCGGAACGGCCCTAGGAATTTGGCCAACAAATGCCTGAGAACCCGAATCGCAGCAACAGGTCACAACATGGAACAACCACTTCCTGCCCAGTCATGCATTGTATTTGGCAGGCATGGGTGATCGTGTGAATCGTGTATGTGCAACTTTCATCACTTCAACAGCTTTCCCTGAATCTGCACAAAAGAGCTCAAGCTCAAGCGTGATGCTGCACTCCAAGACTGCAATCCATTTGCTTTGGCCACTGGACCGTCTGTTTCACGTCCTTTCTTCGTCTCCAGTCTCCCGTCTCCAGGTGCGCAGCCGGCAGCTGTCTGGCAACGCTACCTGCAGTGTGCCAGCGCCCGCGCTGGCAGTGCCGATCCCACTGGGCTCACGATCGCCGCGGGCTGCGAGCGCGGCGTGGTGCTGGTGTGGCGCTTAAGCGGCAAGGGGACGCCTGAGAGGGCACCATGTGAGGTGCGGCTTGGATAAAGTTTTGGCAGATTTGGGGAAGTGATATCCCAGTCAAAAGGCATCAGTATTTCCAGATACTCAGAAAACAACAACGTGGAATGGGATAACCTTCAGTTGGTAGAGGGTCACATGGTCCTGCCAGGGTCAGGGGCCATGCCATCCATGTAACCATGATTTTTGGGGAGATCTTGAAACCACTTCGTGCCTTCGTCGCTTTGAGCTTCTCCCCTTCGTCTGACAGACCTGGTGTTCGACCACCTTTCTTCTCTCGCACAGAAGAGACAGAGATTTCAGGTTGAAGCCGAACACTTTGGATGCAGATTTAGTCGTCTCGATTGCATGGTGCCCGAGATCGGAGGAACTCCTGGTGGCAGGTCTATCCACGGGGTATTTGGTCTTATGGGATTTGTCTGTGCCAGTGGTCCCATTGCGGTGTTTTATGCCTGCCTCACGTTTGCCGATGATGAATCTGTCATGGACGAGCGACTCAACTCTGTGCTTGCCCTCTGAATGCGCGATCATTGAGATGCATGAGCAGCGCATGAGCCAGATCCGCTCCAATCGGGGATCGGGTGGAAAGCACTTGGTCAAATGCGCGGGCATGTGCAGCACTGCACCGGGCATCTTCAGCGCATGGTCTGATGGGGTTTTAAACCTCACTCCCCGGCGATGTTTGCACTTTGGGAAGAATCTGCGGAGCAGGGAGGCACAGCACCTTGGCCTTTCTGTTCCAGACCAGGTGTCTTTTTCCTCCAATGAATGTATATTGTTTTCCTTTCCCCTTTTGCTGGCTTTGGTTCTCTGCTGACACGCCGCATGGTGTTACATGCGTTTACGCAAGTTCCAGTGTGTACTCTCAGTCAATTGTTATTGACCTCTAGCAACATTTCGTATGCAAGGCGAGAATAAAATCTTTGTCAGTGGAGGGTTCCTGTTTTCACATGTTTTCATTGTGCAGCACATGCAACCGAGCACTGCCAGCTTGTGGACTCGCGAGGAAGGAAGACGCGTGGCAGTGCTGGGGCTTTTCGGGCAGTAACGACTTGAAGGATTTTCCATTCCCTCGCATGGCCTACAGCTGTCCCAAAGAGGAAGCTCAGAGGAAGGAGTACATCCAAAAGATGTTTCCTGGCTGATTCGGAAGTGTGGTCGGCACCAGGTGCAAAGGTATTATCAATTATTATAATTACATCATGATAACTTCACTTCACTTCACTGGGGCTGCCGAGTTCTGCTAGATCTGACCTAGCCACCTCGAGCCCTACATAATGATAACTACAGTAATGAAAATATTATGGAGAAGTATAGAAGATTCCAGTTGGGCCTTGGGGGACGAGTCCAAACGGCCAGACCTGTACAACATTATATAAGTATATACATATATGTATATAATTATAACCATATATAACTCGTCCTTAAGTCCTCAAGTACATAGAATATGGAATTGAGCGGCCAAAGTATATTCCGTCATTTCAATTCCATATTTCAAGTACCCTGCCTTGACCAAAAGAAACGGGTATATACTTGGAATATTCCCAATGGATCAAGTTGGGTACTTGGCAAGCGGGTGTTTTTGTTGAGAGCCCCGCGATTGAGTTGCAGCGAATTTCTATGTACTTCAGGATATATATATATATGTATTTATATTTATGCGTGTGCGCATATGGTACATCTCTCCAGGTGCATATATATATATATATATGTATGTACGATCATATAACAGTAACATATAAAGAGAGAAGGAACATACATGGCCTCGGTGCCCGAATGCAGGGGACATGGGTCAGTGGGATATAGCTCTTAGACCCCCAGGTGTTCCTACCACACCCAGGGGCCTTTCATGGCCACTTTACTTAGCACTTGGCATTCCAAAACCGATGGTTTTTTGGATGATTTCTGAGGTCCACCACCCTCTAGGACTGTTTGCCCAGAGTGGTGGGGCCAGCCTGAGGTTTCTGGAGTACGAATACGAGATTGTGAATCACCACCGCCTGTGGGAGACGAAGAAGTGTACGCTGGAAATTGGATCTCATCGTCCAGAATCGGCTCTCCCCCTCAGCTGCGCCAGGGATCCTAGAATCCTAGAGGTCAAGGAGCACCTGAGCATGCCAGATCTATGGTAATCCTTGATTGGCGTTTGTTTTCGAAAATACGCTTTGTGTGGCCAACGTTCGTTCAGAGAGCTTCATGTCCAGGTCGCTGCCACTCTGCCCAAAGGTGATGGCTCCTTTGCGCAGCTCGGAGGGAGGGAGTTGGGAGGGAGCACGGCGGGGGGCGTTCAGTGCACCGGGCTGGTCCTTCAGCTTCGGTGTTTGTCTTTCACCGTGTTCCCACGAAACGGTCCAGCAACGTGCATTCCTTGGAGGATTGAATGATTCCTTCGAGCCACAAAATCAAGAGCCTTCTTTGTGCATGCTTGCCGCAGCATCTCCATGTTTCTCTCATGTTTAGGACTTCATCGGTTCGCCCATTGGCATGATTGGTATGTCATGAAGATAATGTTGCGAAACATCATGCTCCCCTCTTGGCCCGAAACATGCAAGCTGGTACGCTTTGTAAGCAGCTCGCATCATTGGGAGTCCATTTAGTTCTCATGTGGCTTTGCAGTTCAGTTGTTGGTTTTGCTGCCACATCCATCAAGTTAGGTTGGCCACTGGCAGTATGGCAGGGATTGTCAGCCTGATGTTGATCAAAGAAACTTCATGACCTGAGCGGAGCAAACGTTCGCTCCGGACCGTGTCGCGGAGCGTGGCACCGCGGGCTCCGCCGGCGGGTTTGAGCTTCATTGGTGGTTTTTGAGCTTCGTTTTCCTTTCATGTGATGCGACTTGACCATGTCCGACATCGCTTGGCTCATCTCTTTGCCTTGGATCCGCTTGTTCGCGACGTGGAAAAAGGAGCGAAGACGAAGAGATTGGTGCGATGCCTCCTGGGTTCCTACGATGGTGTTTCATTCGTGGATAGGGGAATCAGGCAAGCCCCGGTTGTATACCATTCATTTGGCCGCCCAGAAATGAAACAGTCAAACATGCAAGTACTGAACCAGTATGCGTCGAATATCAAAGTTCAAGGAGAAACTCGATATTCGTGCCCTTTGATAGTTTGCCGGTCATCATTCCTCTGTGCCCTACGATCTTTGCGGACCTCGGCCAGGAACAGTCACTGAACCTGAAGGCGTCCGACGTGGACCGATGGACCATTCGGAGTGGGACACGGACACCTGGTATCACCTGGCTCTGTGAGACCGGCAGTTCTGCCGTGGGACGGTTCTGCCGTGGGTTTTTGAGTCGGTCTTTCTGGAGAGCGAGATCATCCGCGGTCGGCGCACTGGGGTTCTTCTCCGGAGAAAGCCGATTTCGCTCAGGCACAGGGCAAGGACACCAAGGACAGGGCGATTCGAGGGATGATCTGGATCCAACTGGCGCAACGGAGGCGCAATCCAGTTCATACACCCAGCATGCAAGCTGCAAATTTTGCTAAATGAGTGTTTAATGAGTTAAAGCGCGTGTTAAATCATGTGATTTCACGATCTCTCGCCGTGATTTTGGACCAACAGCTGGCTTGAGGCTCTCTTGGGCCATCTCTCTTGGGTCAGCCTGGGAAGCATTGAAACGTTCGGTTGGAGAGGTGGGCAGAATACACCGGTGCAACCCGTGGTTTTGGTGTCATAAATCCATCGTAAATCCGGGATTAACATGGTTTTTGCGATGGTTTTGCCTAGGGTGGTTTGATGTGGTTTGTATGCTCCCTATGTGTGTGATCCTCTTCCGGGATTTGTCTAATCATTTGTCCCGGTTCCTGCAGAACATCCAAGTAACACAGAACACACTGAGCCCCAAAACGGCCTGGCCGAGGGTCTCCCGTCCAGGAGGTCTCCTACCAACGCCGCGGGGACCGTGAACGTGCACGGGCAGCAGAGTATTTGAGGGAGCAAGCTGTCGAGGCCGCTGTTGCATTCAGCTGTCGGGGGGGTCGGGTCAATTGCTCAGGCCCATGCCATGTGGGCCCAATTGATTTGGGTAAAAACGTTGTGTTTTTCTTCCTCCAGGCTCTTATATTTTGGAGGTCGCCATAATACCATATTCACACCACATACTCTCGCCCAAACAACCGTATTCAGTAAATATTACTGTATTAATAGTCTATATCATTACATATTGTTCGATTTGCATACAAGTGCAACTGCTATATGCTGACAACACCAACCTGTTGAAACATGTCAAGCAAATCCTGGGCTGATCTTTATCATTTGGGCGTAGAACACTTCTCAAAAAGGGCCTTGCTATCATGTGATGTTTGTGACACATGTTCTTCGACCTCTAAGGCGACCTCTGCCAACCCCTGCCACGCCAGGAGGAACGCCAGCGTGAGGTGGAGCGAACCCGCGAGCGTGTGGGGCCCCGGCCGTGCGGAGAGGGGGGGCCTTGTACTGGATCCCTATAGAATTGACAAATAAGGAGCTGGGTGACAAAAACATTCAACTGGAAGGTTGGAATGTGGGTATCTATCATACCCGGAACTTCCTCAAAATGCGCAAAATGCTTGTTTTTCTCGATGTGCGGCGTGAAAAACACCTTTTGGCGTCACAGCCTTGCATTTGAGTCTCTATTTTTCTGACTTTTATGATATTCCACGGGCGTTTACTGGTGAGCCGCGGGTGTTTTTCACCGCCCGTATTTTATTTTTGATTTTTAGCGGGTGTTTATTTCGGTTGTGGCTGTTTATGTGGCTCCAAGACCTACTCAAAGGTATGTTGAACTACCTACCGACCACAAAAAAGAAGGGAAGCAACCACGAGGTTGCAGGTATAAGTTCATCAAGGTCTTGGAACGACGTAAATCACAATTTAATCACCTACCAGAGGATAATCACTGTTTGGAGCGTTGTGTGGCATAAGTAAATGCCAAAACAACTGCACAGCAGCACAGTTGCTCATGCTTCGACGGCACTTGTGAGGTGCCAATCAATTTCCATGCCTATACAGCCTATACAGTACAGAAAGTGACAGTAATCAGTAATCAGTATGTCCTGTCCGGAATGCTCATGAACCCTTGATTGATGTGCCAAGCTGCCTTTCAACTGCAAGGCCGAACATGTGCGGTTCGTGGGGGAGGCAATGTTTGCAGACATCCCATTTTCAGGAAAAGAAACATCACACCAACCCAGTCGCAGCGAAAGAAACGTTCTTTTTTCTTCGGACCACGTCGGTCCTCAAGCTTTTGTTGTGGCTGTGGCTCAAATTGAACAGCTCAACACATCTGAACAACATGTCCCGGAATATGATTCTCCTCCGGACATGTATGAGGCAATGCACCTGAGCCATTCATCTCCTACTGCTGAGGCGAAGCCCTCGAGTTCAAGCGCTGGCCAAGTGTGTCCGCAAAGGAGGCGGGAGTCGTTTCCGGTCTGACTCTTCTGCTGGGGTTCACACCTCTGGATGGGGCCGGCGTATGTTTTTTCCGTCCTTCTTTTCGTCGAAGCCCACTAAAGGATTGAAGTTCAACGGGACTCGGCGGCGCGGAGGCCGCTTGGGCTTGGGGACGAAGCTAATGGGCTTTACAATATGGCACCAGATCTTCAACCGTGAAGATGGGCTTGCAGTACTGAATGAACAGTTGTTTTTTGTTTTTTACATTGTATGCGGTATACTAAGACTCTATATACAGTGTGGTTGGGATGGGTTAAACAATGTTACGTTTTGATTCTGGTTTGCTGGAACCGAGTGCCACATCCATTTTCTGGGGCTGTGAAGGAGTCGTAGCCACCACTTGCTAACGCACGGGACACTTCTCAATAGAAGTGGTGGCGAGTAGGAGACTTTGATTTTCCCTTTTATGGCGTTATGTTGCATGCGCGCGGGGAATGGCAACCTTCTTAGACCACTTTTAGGTAGACGGATCTTTTGCCAACGAGGGAGTGGAAGATGGCCGACTGAAAAGATTCTGCACTGCGCTGGAGCCTCGCAGAGCTAAGCTACTCTGAGCCTTCTGTGAGTGACCCTTAGCGCAGGTCGTGGTGCCAGCCCGTGACTTAGAAACGGCCATGACGAAGGTGAGCTGGTGTCTCTCTTGGTTTCTGGGAGACGCCTTGGTTTCGATACCAGAGCATCCACTTTCAACGCCGGTGGCATATTCAACGCAAGGACCTAATCCAGACAGCACGAAACTGAACAATTCAAGGAGACTCTTTCAATTGAGTGGCTTGATGCCAGAGGCAGAAGGGGTTCAGATCAATAGGCAGAAACAATCCCAATACATTTTCATTCTTTGGACTTGCTAAAGGTCCATGATTCTATTCACGATTTGAGAGGATGGCGACGAGGTCAGCATGTCATGATCCAGCCGCGCGTATTCCCGCAGAGTGCTGGCCATTTTGCAACTCAAGCTGATGGTTTTCCACTGTGATGCCACCAGGCCATAAGCGAACTTGTCAGATGGGGCCAGCGAACGCTGTGTCCCAAGCTGAGCAGGTTTGTTATCTTTGCTCAGTTCTTTTGAGACAGATGCCACCGGGTGCAAGAAGCATTTCTTTCGTCCATTTTTTGGGGGCAGCCCGGGCCGCATGGTTTGCAACTTCCCACTTCCACAGCTGAAGGAGAGGAAGCACATTCATGCCAGCAGCTCACCCCAGTCAGCACACTGATTCAGTCAGCTCAGCTCAGCCTTGTTTTTGCGCCATGTGGGGTCGACTGATGGGCACCACCAAGAGCCACTTGGGACGTCCATGGTCCGCCTATGTCGCCTTTTGATGCACCATGAGGGGAAATGGGAGTAAAAGGCACATATAATCACATAATATATATATATAATGTAATGTAATGTAATGTAATGTATGTATGTATGTATCTATGCATGTATGTATGCATGCATGCATGCATGCATGGATGGATGGATGGATGTAATTAATATATGTAATGTAATGTAATGTAATGTAATGTACGTATGTACGCAATGTATGTAATGTATGTAATTATGTAATTATGTAATGTAATGTAATGTAATGTAATGTTATGTTATGTTATGTATATATGTAATGTAATGTAATGTAATGTAATGTAATGTATTGTTATGTTATGTAATGTTATGTTATGTTATGTAATTAATGTATGTATGTATGTATGTATGTAATGTAATGTAATGTAATGTAATGTAATGTAATGTAATGTAATGTAATGTAATGTAATGTAATGTAATGTAATGTAATGTAATGTAATGTAATGTATGTATGTATGTATGGTATGTATGGTATGTATGGTATGTATGGTATGAATGGTATGTATGGTATGTATGGTATGTATGGTATGTATGGTATGTATGTTAGGTATGTTAGGTATGTAATGTAATGTAATGGTATGGTATGGTATGTTATGGTATCTATGTATGTATGTATGTATGTAGGTATGTAGGTATGTTTGCATGGATGTATGTATGTATGTATGTAATGTAATGTAATGTAATGTAATGTAATGTTATGTATGTATGTATACACATGGTCGCCGTTATGAAGGTCCATGTCCATGTTCTTCAATTGACCAGCGGAGTGGGCTGGTGCCACAGCCACTCCACAGTTGAACCCACCGAGCCAGTTAGGCTGGACAAGGCTGAGCACACGTCTCAATTCCATTCCTAGTGTGCACTAACATGAACCCTGAGAATGGCGCCCTGAAAGACAATTTTCATTTACAAACCAGTGATTCTTTTGGGTCTTCAGCGGGGTAACACCCCGGGACAACTTCAACACCGCTCTGCCAGACACAAGCAGTGTTTCGGAGGATTTCCCTCACCCGCGAGAATGTGCAATTGTTTTGGATCCGAGTTCTTGCAGCAACTCTCCTGTCGGGAATCTCTCTAGGAAATACACATTGATTGCGTGGTTTTCCCGAAACTCCGGCAATTCCAAGGTCAGAGTCCCAAGAAGAAGGAGGCTGTTGCGGACAGCTCCGAGCCCCCCTTTGAGGCCGTTGGAGCCGGAATCCATGCTGGGTCATGCAATGTCATGCATTTTTCTGGCCACCAAGCACCGTGCTCCCATGTCTCAAAAGCACAGGTCTGGCGGTTGGGAGCCGCCCTGTGGTAGCTAGCCACAGGTCTTCCTTCCTTTTTCGGCCGCACCGGCGATCTCGGGCACCGGCGATCTCGTCGGGGCGGTTGGTCTTCCCACCCACCCTCTCCATCCCTCTGATCGAGAGGTCCAAGCGGGTCGGAACTGACAGGACTTGGAGCAAATCATCAGGACGGCGCATCGCCTGCGTCGCGTCGCCTGGGTGCGGGTGGATGCGCCAAACTTGCGGCGCGTTTGGATGGATGCTCCGTCCATGCAAACGTGCCCGGTGTTTCCGTGCCTTTTGAACGTGAGGAGCACGGCCCGTTCGGAGGAGTCGCCCATTAGTGACCTTACTTGAGGAAGCAGTGGCACTGGAGATTGGCTATATAACATAAAATTCTGGTGGCCTCATGGCACACTCGCACCGCCGCTGTGGGATCACTGGTTTCAAAGCTAGCCATCCGATCGCGAGACCCCAGAGGGTTTCCCCACCTCGACTTCCAGATATAATATGGCGTAATTTCAATTTTAGCTCCTTTCAAATGAAGAACGTCAAGCCGCCACCTGTTATGTAGGTGAGCGACTAGAATGCAGGACTCATTGACGCTTTTAAACACGTTCCTTGACCAAAAGTGGCTGTGAATGCCATCTTAGCACACAGTGCCAAGATGTGCCAAGTAGCTTCTTGTTACTAGTAGTGACTACTAGAAGCTTTTTGTTGCTAGTGTGAACTCGCAATAAGGTTGGTTAATATCTTTACACAGTTGGTGCAGGTCCCACCTCTCATGGCACCACAGACCAGTTCAGGACCTTGACGCCGCAGCAACAAACGCAAGTCTGCAGCCTCTTGGGAACGGCCATTGGTGATGCCGTTGGGCTTCCGTTTGAGCACCTCGGAGATGATCCGACGAGCGGGAGCGTTGCCCTCCAAAAGAGCCAACAGCCAAAAGAGCCCATCATGTGGGACAAGTGAATGACCCAGTGGGTCCAGTGGGTCAGGATGTTGTTATATATTTATTTGTGATGTAGGATCTTGATTAACAACCCACGTTGGATGGTAGAACCTCGTCATACGTGTTTCATATGTATATGTCATATGTAATTCATGTTTTATTCATCAAGAGTCTACATTATATAGGTACGTGTCATGTGTTTAAACATGTGCCGAAGCATGTGCATATTATATGCATCGATATCAGCATACAAGCATGTCAGTCCAAGCTCAGTCGGAATGTGTGGTCCGGAGTATCTCAAACCAGTCGTCCTTGCAGGGATGCAGCGTTGACCATGGACAGATGCCTTCGGTGACCTCGCATGTATCGTTTTGTTTTGCCCGACCGGTGACCACGGTGACCACGAGATTTCGAGGCTGCACGCTCATGCGAAGAATCGATCAAAGCTGGATACACATCAAGGTCGCTTGGAGAGATCTGGCGCGACTGACCGACTTGCCCGTACAAGTTGAACAGACCCTTCAACGCTATCATTTCCAAAGACCCTTTTTTCTTAATATGCCATCTAAGGGGCCTCCCTGACCCTGCGGGGTCTCCTTAACTAACAAAGCCTAACACAGCCTATATGCATCACTGAGGCTCTGGCGTGGAGAGGTTTTGGGCCGATCTGTTGCCCTTCTTGACCTCGCGGCTCAAGCGCTCGGCAGGCGCGCCTGGCGGCGTTTTCGCACGTGGCGTGTGTTTCGGCGTCCGGCGTTTTGGGCGTCGCAAACAGACACAGATCCATACAGCGCCGCTTCTTCCGCCGCCGCTCCCACAGGGACACCGTTTGGACGCACCTTTTCCGACGACACAGTGTGCACCGACTTGAAGATGCAGGCATGGCAACCTGTAAACTGAAAAGGGTTGAAATGTCAAGTCGGGAGCATGGGAGGAGGGATTCAGAGGTCCATTGGGGGCCCCCATCCCTCCCTACAACAGGGGAACAAAGCAGCGATAGCGAGTTCCACTTGCTAGGGTCGTTGGCAGGGACTCGTGGCATCCCTTGGTGTTGTTTGAAAACTTTCTTGACATACTACCAATCTAATACAAACTCAGCTTGATACCCCGTTCTGGGCGGGGATCACCCTCCAGCTTTTCGATGGCAGTGTGTGTACTTTGACCGTTTTCAAGCACATGAGACAGAACTTTGAGAGGAACATCTATATACTGTATACATATATTAGTATTATATACTTTTTACAGTTGCACATATATATATATACATTGAGCTGCACAGAGAGAGAGAGAGAGGGTGCTTTTCTTTTGATCTTGTTGAGAATCAACAGGACTTTCCTGTCTTAATCAATTCATGGGGGTTCCTCAAACCACAGCCTTTAGTGACACGTCTACTTTCTCAGAGTGTAGTAGCGGGATCAGTGGGATTCCTCATTTTTTGAAGGCTCACATAATGACTCACATACCTCTGACGAGTCTCCCTCAGGTCGTTGCGAAGGTCTCGCTGAGCGCAACAAAGATTTCTGAAGATGCCATCTTCGAGGTCTGTGTGATATCGCTGAGTCAGTGATACCTTGCCTGTTGCATGTAGAGACATCTTGCCAAAAACAGAGTGGCACTGAGATCACTGAGCTAGAGACACAGTCTAGAGATATAAACCAACCAGACCCGAAGCAGAAGGCAGCAACGTGGTGGGGGAGGGAAAGCAAGCCTTTCCTCAAGTCGTCAGTGAAACACTGGAACATCAACATCTGGAGAGCTTGAGACTTGGGATTACTGAATAAGGCATATTCAGTGAATATGCAGTGGGGCCAGTGGGGTTCAAACATGGCGGATTCCAGAGTCTTTGGACTGGCTGAAGGCGTTCATAAAAGTCTGGGCTGCCTGGGATGCCAGCGCCCTCCTTGACTGGTTGACTTTGGGCCCTGGATGGCTGTCAACCTACCATGCTTTGGCGGGGCTGCGGGCGCTTGAGGGCGCTTGTGGACAACCTCCAATCCTCGCTGCCCCCTTACTGCCCCTTGATCT